AAGGGTTCGAAGTTGGGTCATTGAGGGAAATTGACACTTTTCACCCCCCTGGGCTCCCGTAGGCATAATCCCGGGAACGGCTATATGCGGTTCGGCGTGGAATTTATATAAGGGGATAACTCCGGAGTCGATACGCTGTGCGATAACATCTTCACATCTTCACGTCTCGCGTAACAGGCTTCGCGATGTCTCACGAAACACTGTTACGCTGCGACGCGCCTGGCATTCATCTACCTAGGCCTGCGGCGCTGACACCCGAGTCAGGCAAAAGGCAGAGTCGTATATAGGCCTTCGGCTCCAAAGGACACAAATTTTACCCGCAGGATTTTATTTTGACGAGTTGCCGTACGAGAGTCCATCATATATCTGAGAAACAACATTAAAATGGTTTGGGGTCATTTTCGTGTGGAAATCGCCCTCTGGCTTCTTAATGGTTAGAGATAGAGCCAAACGCACAAAATTTTGGCCCAGTGGGTTCTACTTTGACGAGTTACGTCTTAGAAAGATATAAAAGAAATAAAAAAATAAAAGTAATACTTTGGGTTTTTCGTTGTTGATTTTTTTGACAGATCAATTTTTCAATTAGAGGGCTCAAAATCAATACAGTTCTGGCTTTTCATGCTACAAAGCTACGCTAAAAATTTTAGGTACCTAGCTCAAACCGTTCTCGAGTTATCGTTATTACAGACAAACAGACAGACAGACACGAAACTTTTTGATCATCACTGGAGTAATAGGCTTCGCTATCGCTCAGCCAATTATTTTTACCAAATATTATTTTATGGGCTCCTAAGGGGTAACTCGTGAAAGTGGAATTCTACGGGCGAAAATTTCGTCCGTTTTGCTGTATCTTGTACCGTTTTAGCGCTATGGGGCATTTCTTGGCGAAAACAACGTGAAAAAGACAAAATGGTCTATTTAGTCGTTATAAAGGCTTTACGTCACAGAATTGTGAAGGGAGTTATACTTCAACCACACATTACGGGTCGAACCGTACCCTGTTTTGGGGCTATAGGGTCCCAAGTTTACCTAGTATCACCAAAACGTTGATTTTTAGCCCGCCCTTCTGCTTTGAAAAAGCTATCCAGCGGGCTTATGCAAACGACCTCGTGTCTGTCTGTTCCACAAGAAGGAGATGTGCCAGAGACTTCAAATTTTCAGGGGATCTCAAGGTTGACTCCCACAAAACAAAACGCCTACGGCAAATCCTGTCAGCCACCTCTAAGGGGCTGAAAGGGGGTATCGAAGAAAACAGGAAAGGCCAAAAAAGTTGGAAAACATTTTATTTTTATGATCTCCTTAGGGGTAGCTTGAGAAAGTAGAGTCCTTTGGCCGAAAATTTTGTCGGTTTTGCGCTATCTCTAACCGTTTACGCGCTAGAGGGTCTTTTTAGACGAAAATAAGCTAGAAATTGCCATAGTAAGCAATAAGATGTAGAAAAGGGCCTAAAAACCGCAAAATAGAAATGAAACTTTCCCCTACCCCCGAAAAACGTTTTCTAAGCAGAAGGGTGGGTTGTAGTCGCGGTGCTTCACCGTTACATCCCTTTCTCAAGTCGACGGGGCAAACTCAAAGATGACGGGTTTAAGCGGGCCGAAGGCCCGCTACAACATTCGATCATGTTCTTTAGCAAATCGCGTGACAGGCGGGGGGATGGGTGGAGTGAGAGGGTATACGTTATTTCGTTCGGGAATATCAGAGGGGCATAACCTCGGAGGGGCGTAAGTGCAGGTCCTCTGGTGCCTTAAAGTTGCGGGCAGGGGTCCCCTCGGGGTGCAGGTCGGTAATCCTCATGGTTGCGGGGAGGGGGTGGGGGTGTCTCGGGCTCGGGGCGCAGGGATGGGTTGCGTCAAATACTCTAGGTACCTTAAAGTTGCGGGTTGGATCTCCGAGGGGAGTGAGTGCAGGTCAGCAATCATCTGGCACCTTATTGTCACGGACTGTGTCCTCCGCGCCCAAATTCAAATGATCGCCCTAGTGGCGGGTTATGGAACTAGAATAGGGAATGCCAAAGTGTTGTGCGCACGCTCGGGTCGGCCGCTGGACCACCGGCCGGGTTCCCGCCAAAGCCTCCAACCCAAAACGCCATTCATTGAAAATACAGTTTATACAGAGGTTGGAAGTCACAGACAGGTTTGAACACGTTTAAAACACATGGCCAACTCTAATTTCTCTTCAACACATCACAATGACTTCGAAAAGCGTCTCCGACGGTGCCGCGCCGCTCAGCCAATGAGCGCCCGCCGTTTGAATGGCGGCGCCGACCCCGGGCCTCGTTAAAGGTGAACACAAGTGTTTTAATGCATCAAATAAAGCGGTGCGAGTTGAAACAAGGAAGAATAAAGATGGACACGCCTTCTGTCGTATTGAGCGACATCACCAAAGTGTTAAAACGTGAAATAAACGTTAATATCGACACCTGTCAGAATCATCGCCGATTTGAAATTGTGCTGCGCTGTTATTGGTCGAGGCGGGGGCGGGTCGGTTGAGTAGGTCCGGGCCAAGAGACAGATCGTCAGTAGAGCTTTAGCCCTGGCGGAAGGTGCGACTGGAAGTAACATTTTTTAGTAAAGCCTTTGATTGTGTGTACAATGTCGTCGTCCTCTGATGAAGAATGTTAGAGCTTGGATGTTAGCTCGTTTAGCTCAACCGATGAAGAACAAGTGGTGAGTACAAATGTAATATTCTGAGTGAAATCTGTGTGAGGCTGAAGAAGTGTTGGACTGCTAACCTGTTGCTACCGCGATTGTCGCTCCGCCGTTCATTCGTGGACTCGTTGATTCACAAGTGCGCTTTTCAAATCTGCGATTGAGTTCGCCGCGCTTTCCGAAATAACCGCGAGAGTTTGCCGCCCCTATCCTAACCTCACCACATGCCGAGTTTTCACGAATTCCTATCTTTTCAGCGAGTGAATCTGCGCTTAATGGGCGAGAGGCCCCCGGAGGCCAGCGCCGTCCCCAGCCCTCCCTCAGACTGGACCGCAGGTGCGGGGCCCTCATCGCGCCCCACAACGGCCGAGGACGAGTTGGCCAAGGAGTCGGCCGCCGCCTTCGCCTCGAAGGTGGCCGTCGTGCCACCCACGCCCCGCATCGTAAGTATCCTCGTTTTTAGCTCAGTGCCGTTACAAGTTGGATGTCGCCTTAACCTCTATGTTAGCCCATCCCATTTCATGGGTCGAAATCGTGGATTTCAGAGGTACGGAGCCTAAAAGGTAGATTTCACCTATAAAAGACCGTGTGCAAAGTCCGGGGCCTGTGCGACAACGTTTACCCGGATCGCATCGCGATTTTCGGTCTGGCCCAACTTTGGCGCCAAACAGGCACTCCATCTTTTAGGCGCTGCCCTGGGCGCACGTTGGGGCCAGGGCGGACGACTCGGGCTGAGAGTGTTACCCTATGGGTCCTACTTTGTATCGGATATGAAGGATGCGAGCTCGCGACACACGCGGCGTGTCCAGGGGCCTAAACGTGCGCCCGACGTCACTCGCCGTTTACAGAAAATAATGCCGACGGACCCCTATTTTTTTATTGCACGAAAACCGAGGGCACACTGAGACCTTTCAGAATCAGTAATGTCTGCCGGGTAGCGGTCGCGGGAACACCGCGAAATCATGCGAAACATGCAGCGGGCGGCCCGCGCACTGTTTGAAGCGAGGCGCGGCGCGCCAGGCGGCTGCCTGGCTGAGCGGTGGTGGGGGAAGCACCGCTGGCGGGGAAGGCGCCCAGGCCGGAGGGGGACTGCGGCCGGCCCGGCGCGCGCGGTTTGAAAAGCATTGCTGAGCGGATGGCGGGGAATTGTAAATGATGTGATGTACGTATTCTGTACCAGTCATTTATTTTCAGTTTTAATGTAATGCCCCAATGTTAGGGAAGATTTGCTGTCATTTTGTAGAGTTTTGTGCATTACCTGTAACAAAAACAACGGAATGAGTATAGTTAAAAATATTTCGCGCTAAGAATATTGTAATAAATATTTGACACCGTACCACTAGGAGATTTTGGAAACTTTCTTCCGATTTGGTCAGTTTTGCTGCGCTGTATTCTGTTGTCAGACGCACCGCCCTTTCACTGATGTCGTTGACAACGTGCAAAGCTCCCACGGTTTCTAAGCCAGCCTCGTAGTCGGCATGCCCTGGCCATTCTGAAGGGTGTAGGTCCAAAAATCCTGTCGGTATCTCCATCATGGAGAAGAACTTGGCAGTGTGGGCATTCACAAACTGCGACAAATCCATGTCTTTTTTCACCTTTGTGACTGTGGCTCGGTAAGGGGGCTGTTTTTTCACGTCTGGGGACAGCGCGCTTTAGACTCTGGACCATTTTAAATTTGGTAGAGTCGTCAACTTCCGGGTCAAAGAACGCTAACGCCACGCAATAAGGCGATAAATACCACAAATGATTTAAATAAGCTTTCAGAGCAGTTTTTGCAATAGCATTTGAATGCTTATATGCCTGAATGTCTTTAATCAATTGCAGGTCAGTGCGCGGTCCTGCAGCTGGGACAGTGGCCGTGAACCACGGCTTGATGTATGTTGTCACAATAAAAATGCAGACATCCCGAATATTTTCGAGAAGCGCACTTTCAACAGTGAACTGCCCTAAAATCAGAGGAACGAAACAAAAGTTAACGGAGCGCTAAAATGCAGTTTTGTGTATTGGACCTTAAATTTCGGGAACTAAACCCACCTGACCGCGCAAACACATAGATTGAAAGACAGTAGATGATCCGCCCCATGAATCGCGCTGAAGTGAGCGCAATTGGCGGCCTAAACCGAACACCTTTCGGGGGGCACTCGCCGATAAAAATGAGGACGAGTTCCAAAAAATACTCATAATCGCCTCGTATTTGTTTTTTCTGTGCAGGCAGAGAAAATCACAGGAGTGTTAGTGTATGAAAAACCATTATGAAACGAACATTTTAAATCACTTGGAGTGATTTACCTGCAAGGCTGCACCCACAAAATCTGAAATGTTTTGGACCGTTTCCGGCGTTAAAGAATTTTGGCATTCAGGGTCGGAGGAAGCCGACGAATACTTTTGATGGTCCATAGTTGGCCACTCATCCTGAAAACGCTTGCACAATTTTCCAATCCCTGGGCACGTCGATGTCTCAACGAACTTATCGAAAATGTGCTTGCATATTATTTCAAGGGAATGGTGTCTACAGGCTAGATAAATAAGAGGCCGTCCTAAGGCCTTCTCCATACATCTAAGTGCCCCAACATGACAACCTGTATTGGAGCTTGTTGTGTCGCAGGACACGCATTTCACCTTTTCAGTTAACTTATAGTTTTGAAGTTGAGCTACAACTTCATCCGAAATGTCGCGGCCGTTCCCCCTCGGCAGGACATTAGACGCCAGAAGTTGGTTTACTCCCTTTCCTGTTCCCAACAGAAAAATAGCAGTTCACTTTATGGTTTTTTGTCAGTCAGGCGTAGGCGTGAGGCATAAGTGGGGGAGCGGGGGG